ATTATAATTTTCCCATAAAACTCTTGACTTTCATTGGGTTTCAAAAATAAAAAATATATTATTATTCATTTAAAACGATATAATAATTAATACGAAAATGTAAACGAAGAAACTCGTCACCGCAGGCAGTATAAAACAGTAATAACAGTAACTTGAGAGCTTTTTGCGACATCTCGATATTATTATTTATTTTGCGTACGCCAAATATTTATTGCAGACGAGTTTTACCTTCTACAGGTAGCTTCGAGCGGATTACCGAGGAAATCAAAAACTCCACGGTGTCCCTCGGGATTAATAAAATTTGAAAAAGTCAAACGGATCTCGCATAGGTATGTGCAATTGTATGCACTCACATTTTTTATTTTTAAAACACATATTGAAATTGCGCATTTTATGACATGTCCCGGAGATGTAGCCGCCGCAGTATAAATGGCACGCAAAAGTTATAAAAAAGTCATAACTGTGCAACAACAACCATTAAAATAATAAATGCAATCGGAAGTCAAAAATTGAAGAAAATATCAATTAAATAATAATAGTAATAATATTACACTATATGATATGAAGCCTGGAACCACTATGATACTTTAACGTCATATAATATTATTATGATTATTCATAAGCCGTACTTTTTTGTACACCTATTTGAAACCATAAAAATGATCTCCTTCGAAATTATACAGTATTATTGTTTATCTTCAACGTGAGATAATCGATTGTTTTGTTTTGATCAAACCAGCCTTCAGTCCTGACAGTTTATCATATTATTGTATATTAAACTAAATAATACATCGTTATCAGTGCACGGTCCACGGGAGTCATGTATGAGTATAACGTGAAGGGTACAGTTACTTTGGGAACCTCGAAACCTGCCATAACCTAACCTTGTTCAGCAAGTATTTTATAAATGCAGGTATAGCTTCAAAAAACTTGTGTACTATATTTAAAAAATTATAAAGCTTCAGGCGTCCTAACCAGTGTCGTTACATATGATTTTTGCCTCGTGTACAGCGGTATAAAATATGTAAAACTTTGCAGATCCTTGTCAATCGGCGACCGCCGTCGATGCCGCAAAGCAGGGTCGGTAGGGCGGCCGCATTATATTATTATTATACAGTCTGTCTTTATATAGTGGCCCGATGAATGCCGTCGTAGTATTATATTAATATAATGACGGAGAAACCATTGTTTTCATAACCAGCTTTAACCTCGAAAACCACATTTACCGCGTTCAGCCAATATATTTGTATTATATTTTAACTTCAACCACCGCGCCGGATGCTAATTTCGTTCTAATCGACTGCAAGCGCGGTGTAAACTTCATCCCGGAGACGCGACCGAAAGGAATTAATTATTATAAACAACGGCGGTGGATGTCGTACAATTATAATATCATCGTCGTTACGTGATAATTCCGAATTCGGCGTGTGCCACGCACCATATTATAGTATATAGTTGGGACTTAGGTGGCTAGGTAGAGGAATATCTGCATCATTATACAGCGTCACCCAACGGTCTTGCGGTTCACGATAACGCAGAATCTGTAATTATTATTGGAAGATCCCGTCCCTATATTAAATTTGCTCCTGATTAACAATCTAAAATACCTACATATTGGTACAAACATATTGACATAAAAAAAACAAAAACGATCAAAGAAGAACCATACGTACAAAAACCTCGAATATTGTAAGATATCGATTTCCTTTTGCAATATTTCATATAATGTGGTTCCGGTTTGAATATAATATAGAAAATCGCTTTTATCAAAACCATTTTTTCATACGGTATTATATAAACTTATTGCAAATGATATCCATTAAATATATCACTTCATATAAATAAAATGTATTAAAAAAATAATCTACTTTACGGAGTTAGATTAGATTGGTAAATTACATCTTTTTAGGGACTCTTTTGGCATTCACAACTAAAATTAACTTTGGCACGCGAGCACGAAAAAAAACAAGGGGTATCAAAATTGCGAATAATCAGTACTGATCGAATGAAATTGATAAAATGCATTGTTTGATTTCCGGTGATTCGCCTCGTCCGTAGTTCATAAATATAGATGTTATTGAGACTCTATAAATAGAATGATGGACAATTTGCAGGAGAGTAAATAACAAAACATTACACTAATACTTATAGATTTCATAGGAATATATCCTATATTGTTCACTTTATTTTAAATAGACATTATGGTTTTAATGGCTCAAAAAATATTAAGAGAAAAAAACACTGAACAAAAATGTTTGTAATAAATTAAACAACTTACAAGTCGCATACTTAGAAATCACGGGATTGTCCTCAACCCACTCACACTTTCCACTTCGGAAAAAAAGTATTTTGATTAAAATCGGAGCCTTACACCCACTCACGTCACCGCTAAAATGTGGTCCGGAATTTCAGCAGAGGGAGTCTCAAATACAGCGTGTTATGGCATGTGGGGTGGTGATAAGGGGCGCACACGTTTCGATACCGTCGGAATTCCACATCCAGATATTTCAAAACAGTAATAGCTAGATTTTACTGCAGGTTTGACCATCTGCTACTACAAACTACTACTATCAATACGTAACTGCCCGCAGGCCGATCGACCAAGCATGCTCACCACCAATGGCCCCATTTCCCCCGTTCTTGCGGTAACGAAGGCGCTTGTGTTATTTTTGCGATGCGCAGTCTAAAGCGAATAACTGTGGCAGAAGTCAGAGGAAAAACTTTAGAAACAGTGTCGAAATTGAAAACATTTTGTCCCGAACCATTAGCGTGTCGATGGCGCTGCCATCAACCATGATGGTCCATGGACAACCATTATTAGTGTCATCAACATGCAATCATAATATTCCAGCAGTCTAGCCGAAGACTTTGGTTAAAAAACTAATAGAGTATGAGAGTCTGCAAGTCTGATATTATAGATGATATTTTTACAGTAGATTTTGGGTATTATTACAATAGCAACATTTTAATGAAACGATACCTACTCAACTCCTCGAAAAACTCCATTCGATGTTATAAATTATAAATCACCGATGAAGTAAACAGCAGTCGTTAAAACGGGTCCGGAGGAGCCGTCCATATTTAATTAAAGACCGACGTCTAAAAACGGAGCTATTCGTTTTATCTTCCACGGCCGCACTCTGAAAACCAGAATCCCGACCGAATATCGATCGGAAACTATATATTCACGCTCATGCACTGTCTTTCGAGGAGTAAAATCCCAATGTGTACCTGAGTATAATATATACTACCATGTGTGTGTGTGTGTGTGTGTGTGTGTGTGTGTGTGTGTGTGTGTGTGTGTGTGTGTGGGAGAGAGAGAAAGAGAGTGAGAGCGGATTCGAGAAATTCGCTAGGGACTTCCTTACCGCATCGAATAGTGATGGTGGGACGGCGAGCGTGCGAGGGCGGGATTTAAATTACAAAGAAAGCGTCCGCTGGGCTTTGGTACCGCAGCACCGGAGTGAAATAAATAATAATAATAATGAAAAACAGTAGAGTGGAAAAATAAAACCTCACCAACGACTATCACCCGGTGCCTATATAATATATTGTATAAATACCTCCGGTCCGGTATAATATAATATAGGGGTGGAAATTTACCTGAGAATCGGGCGTGAAAATGACTTTCCGAATCGGGCGCGCATCCCCAGCACGAAACCTCACCGCTCGCCATTTCAAGTTTTTTTTCGGACTGAACTGAATTATACATGCGTGATGCTGCGATACGAATAAAAATAAAACTCTTGTCCGGATATATTATACAGACCGTCTAAGAGTTTTGCATGTAACGAAATAATGTATAAACTGCAGGTACTACTCTCGATCGAATCGAAACGGTCCGCTTAAAAAGGACGTCGTCATCACACGTTAATCGCATACGAGATAAGCTGACTTTCTGTAAGATTTCGTGGGAATCGCAGACCGTCCAGGGAGGCCCACCCCGTCCTCAAAGTTCAATCCACCATCTGTGTGTAGTGAGAAACTGTAGAAAACTCGCTATTTTCGACATCTCAATGTCAATTTAAAAAAAAAAAATAATATTTAAATCTTTACTAGAAGCCTAAAATTACACTGTCAAGCATTCGTGTTTCCGAGCCACATTTATATTATATTATGACAAGTATACAGCCATTAAAGTCTTTGTGAATAGTCGAGAAAGAAGATTTTAAGGCAAGTTGGAAAAGTTCGAGAGGCAATGACCTGGTGTACAGATTATAATATTATTAATTGAAACCGTGCATATAATACCTCTAATCATAAATTTATTTATTTTGCAAAACATATTTTCAGAACCAAGACTTCTATAGTAATTTTAAAGCAATTTTCCCAAAATAATGGACCCAATGATTAATATTTATTTATAATATTGTACATAGAAATGTCACTTATAGGGTAAATCGGTTTATCGGTTATTTAAAGAACCTAAAACATAATTGTAATCATTATAAAGGTTCCATGCTCGGGATTTAAGACTAAAATATTTCTCAAGACTAACAGAAACAACTGTTAAACACTTGATAGAACGACTACATATAGCAAGCCTCATTCCGAACGAAAATCGATGAATGCAAACCCCGTTTTTATAGAATTATAATACGAGTATTCAATTAATTGAATTTAGACGAAATTGTATGAGTAAATTTTTCATGAAGTTTCACATTTTTCGAGTGTCCGAATTTATTACAAATTATATAATTTAATGTTTCTCAAATGTCTACTCTAATTTTTGTCGTTTCCATAAATGGATCCAAAAACAATGTGTTGTAATGTATAGTTGCACTGTAAACACTTGTAATGATCTTAAACATTTTGATTTTTTTTTATAAACTCATTTTAAAATTAGTGGACCGAACTTATAATTCATACTCTTATTTCACCGCATATTAAAATAAAGTTTCACATTAAACCGACAATATCGCATATTATTTAAGTGCATCGGTGCTAAATCAAATAAATAATTCGAATAAAAAATTCTAAATCACGTGAAATAGACTTACCGGTATGCGTCCTGAGGTGGGCTTTCAAGTGCGAACTCTTCGTGTACACCTTCTCACAGCCAGGATACTTGCACTTGTGTATCTTCTTGGCGGCGTCCGGTGACAGGTGGAGCCTTGGGTGGTACGCGACGGCGGCAGCCGTGGTGATGGACAACACCGGGGCGTGGACAACGGCGGCCACGGCGGTGCCGGGCTCGCGGTGCGCGGGCGACGCGGCGGCGATCGTCGTCGCCACAGCGGCCACGGCGCCGACCGCCGTCCGGCCACCGACGGTGACGGTGGTGTTGGTGCTGGCGTTGTTGGTGCCGGCGGTACAGGTACTGGCGGTGCTGACCGGGCTGACGGTGGCTCCCGACGCGGCGGCCGGGGCAACGGTCACTTTCAGCAGACCCGCAGTGGTGGTGGCGGCCGCTGACGTGGAGGGGGTGGACGCGGTCGCGGCGGAAGCGACCCGACCGGAAGTGCCGGCGGTCGAGGCGGTGGCCGCGGCTTTTGCGGCTGCGGCGGCTGCTGCTGCCGATGACAGCAACGACGCCACCACGGTCGGCGACACGTCTGTTTCGTCCGGCGGGCTGGGTGGTGGCGTCGCGAATCCGGACCAACACGTCGAAGGCGAGCTGCTATTGGACGTCACACTACTCTCGCAGTCCAGGCCCACCTCCACCTCCACGCGTGTTGACCACGTCGTCAGCCATGGTGACTCGGACCGCGTCGGCGAGGACGATACCATCGGTTCTTCCTTCAGGTACCGTTCCATCTCGTAACAAGTCTGTAAAAACAATATTTATATTATAGTTGTGTGTTATTCATGTTATTTATTTGCAAATACATTAACCTAAACAATATGAACAGCAATAATATTTGTTGGTAGATTTCAGACACAGTGTTGTACGACCTGCTTTTTACTCAACGGCCCTTTTAAATTTCAAAAATCTTACCACCCTCTAAAACACTTCTCTCACCACTCCTAACCCTAATAATAATATATTTAAAAGACTGGTGACTATTTTTTTACCATAAAGGTTTCATTAAATGAAGTAAAAATCACAAGTTACTCTTAGCTAGCAGTGTAATTTTCTTTTCTTAACCTATAATTGGAAGATGAATATGGTTGCACACGAGTACACGACCATTGACCCCCTCAACACAGCCTCATTAAGTACAAAATCAATATAAAATTATCATCGTTCCGGGTAAAAGACAAAAGACTGATTTCCCTAGCACTTCGCTAGTGTCCTAGTGTGTACTTACAGTATCTAGGGCTTAGCGATCAATCGAGTTCACATTAGAAGCCTCACTGTATACAGACAAATAAATAAACTCCAGAAATATATTTTGAATAAGAAATGTCGACAGACATCCCCCTCTCATTCTTTCCGCCACACAAATCATTCCGTCTTCATAAATGTTTATTAGGTACTTGTTGTATTCGTCGCATACAAATCGTAGGCATTCATTTTCTGAAAAACTTAAATAGCATTTCTTTGAGAAGAGTATTTTGCCATTGCAAAAACAGAGCATTTTAATATGACAAACCTTTTCAGTCATTTCATCGCTATAATACCAATATCATAATATACGTGCGCCATTCTTGGCTTATTCAAAGCCACTTTGACTGTTTTGCATGATAATAATATACATATACGGCTGGTGGGGAAAACCTGAAAATTCCCGTGGGACACACTGCGCTTATTAATAATAAGAATTATTATTATTTTTATTACCTATTGGACGTGCATCGATATTACAAGAACGTCGCAACTAACTGTTAAGCAGTGTTATAGTATACGACGACGTTAGACAAAAGCTTTCTTATATATTGGTATAAGAAATACTACAGTAACAAATATCGTCGTTGGCTGCTGCCGCGCGGACGTTAATGCCTGTGGTGGCGGAGGTGTACCTATGTATGTTACTCACTTTAAAAATCAATACCGACCGATATTTTATTCGCAATACATTATGTTATAAATGTTAATTACGTGCCAAACCTATGCAGTACGACAGTGCATATTATTATAATATACCGGTCGTTCTCGCCGTTTCCTTACTTCGCGCCGCCGTTCGATAACTGCATATGCGTAAGAAGTATACACACGCGTGCTCATGGATTTATCAGTGCCCGCACGAGCATATATCTATATTATACGTATATACATATAATATAATTTAATATCCTACATATATATACATACATACATGTATACATGCTGCTGGTGCTGAGCGTATATGCGAAATTTAATAGAATAAATTAGCCTTTCCGTAGACGTTTTCTTCTGTGTCACGTCGTACGCGCGTATACATAATATTCCAGTAGCAGTGAGCGTCGTATACAACCGGCGTAACCTATTACGATTTATTGCCCTACTGCTCGGCGTACACATAATATTATAATATATTATTATTATATTATACAAGTGTACACACGATAAACATAGCTGAGCACATCTCGGCGACGACGAGAACGCCGGAACCATTGAACATTTTAAATAATAAAAAAATAAATGAATAAAAAACACCGTTCGGATTGTGTACGCGTGTTTCATAATCCGCAATAGCGTAGTACCTACTGATAATAATACACAGTCATTAATGATAGTACCTGCGTATTAAATTATTGTGTTCCGACCGTTCGGATGAAACGAATAGTAATAATAATATTTTTATTATTTTTTTTTTTTTTTAAACGCGAATCGTAGGTACAACGTAATTATATTTACCATTAACTTGGCGGCGATATTATATTATGTACAAGAGAGTTATTTCAATGTAATTATTATTTACATTCCATTATGCGTTTGTGAGGCTACGCTCTGTTTGAGTAATATATTATATTATTATATATACCTACCTATATATGTATAACAGTTTTGCGACATTAAAGTGCATTTTATTACGACTCATAGCGTACTCGACGGAAAAATAAGGTATGCTCGTTTTAATGGATCGACGTACGCATATTATACATAGGTATTAAGTATTTAATTCCGTTGCGTTTGAAGCCAAAACGCGTAATAATAGTAGCGATAATAATAATAATAATAGTAATAACTATTAAGACTTTGTGTGAGCGCCGAACTGGGTGGGTTTAATTATTACGAAGTCGATTTTTATGGGCACATAATGTGTATAATATAATATAATATTATAACTTGTCTACAACGATTTCAATTTATTATTGAAAAACGGAAAATATAGCTTACATGCTCCCCGTTTTATTTTCTATACGCTATTGTATTATATTATTCTCAACAATACGCGAGCGGGTCAACAACCATATTATTGTCAATGAATTGTTTTTCATTTTTTCCCCTCGATTTCGCACGCCTTGTCCTTGATAGCGATGACTTTCGCAGTACATCATAAAGTATGAAACTTTCCGTTATGCGTAGGGCACAGCGGCTCTTCACGAATTCCATACTAACGCGGCTATTATAGATTAATTAAATAAACTATAAGTCGTTTCCGATCGCTTCGAAGATATTATATTCTTGTGCGATATTTTAAACGAATGGACTGCGAATCATCGGCGTTTCTGTTTATATCAAGATACGTATGATATTGAATAAAGCTATTTGCTAAATGGAAATGTATATCGCAGCCGTACATCGACGTGTACATCTTGGGGGAGCAAAAAATACATAATTTTAATATGAAAAAAAAAACTCTATAATGCTGTAGTCGTCGTATATCCATCTCTCTCTCTCTTTCCTTATCTCGTAAAACTATACTAACAAATTATTACGATAGGAGCACTCAGCGTTCGCACTGGTATTCCTCCCCGTCCCTTTCGCGGTTCGGTAATTTCCTATCAATTATGCCGCAGTGATGTTTCACAGAGGGGTGGAAATGATGAAATTTTTTTTTTAATTAAGAGTCGACTATCTGAGGACACCCTCCCCGATCGACACTGCAGCGTCGGTACCGTCAGATATAAATGTATTATTCGTTCGGATAAACGGGCGAGGATCAGTGTCAACCTTTAATATTATTAATTATTATTATTTTTATTATTATCTGTTTTGCATGATAACTGCACTGCCGTGGTGTTAATTACCACGTCAAATCAAATCGTCCCATCAATGTCGAATGGCGATTACCAAAATCCTCTAATAGATTCGTCCGGCACGACACCCACACGTGCGTACAGCAGATGCTGCACAAACGTGCAAAACAAAATAATCATAAAATTAGAATTTATACGGAACGTTACAGCACATCGCAGCCAAACAAGATGATATTTAATAGTGCCTACAAGATGGGTAAAGATCTAAACTATATGAACTACACCATAGCCTTTGGCCATAAACAAAGATTTATTTAGTACTTTGCTCATTGCTGGTAGGTACACAATTTTCGGTTAACAATATCGATCGAACAGCGATATTATTCACCTGACCGAAGATTCTTACAGCTCGAAATCATCAATTCTGTCAAACTAATCAATTGGGTACTATATAATATTTTGTTGTACGTCAGACTGAGCTAAAAACCCACCCTGGTGGTGTCCACGTAAAACGATTTTGACGCTCTGCACAACCAGTTTTAACCACGTCGAGAAATTCGAGTATTCGAGTAATTATCATGGCTATAAAAAAAAAGCAGACGGTTGGATACAACGACGTACAATAAATTAAAGTCAACGTGGCGTATACTTGGGAGTTAAATCGAAAACGGTGTGGTGGCGATGAAGCACGAGAGATTTTGAAATAAGAGAGAAGAGTATACAAAAAAATTAGTACTCCTAGCTACTTTTGCGTTCACCGGTTTCGCGAGGAAAAACTACATCATCCTCCTTCTGCTTCCGGCCTGGCACGTCCGACGCGTCGACTGAGAAAGCGGGACACTGACAAATGCCTCCCCTGCAGTTCGCAATATTATAGTAGCGGAGGCTGCTCAAAAAATGGTGTGAGGGCTCGAAAAGTCATACGTATCGAAACAACGCTCGTGCGATGTATGGTGTAGGAGCGGCGGGTCTCCCCGCCCACGCGTATAATAATGGCTTTTTGTCGAGTTTTAACGAGCCGCGAACTTCATGTTCTACGCTCGCGGAATAACTTAAGACCTTATATACACGCTCGTCGTCGTGGAAAGAGTAAACAAACACCCGACCACCGCGCCAACACCGCTGCCGCCAAGCACAGTATATATACATATGTACATATGGGTTTGAGTATATATATATGTCGTCAAAGTTGTAGTCGCTATATAGCTCGGGTATATATATATATATATATGCATAAGTATTGTGTGTGTGTGTGTGTGTGTGTGTGTGTGTGTGTGTGTGTGTGTGTGTATTTGTGTGGCAGAGTGTGTCTTCCGTTCTCTTTCATATACACTAATCCTCCATATACCGTCCCAAATCTGATTTCGCCCGGCACACATCGACACACACCCGGACGATCTTATTTGTGACTTCGCACACTTCACTTATCTCACGTGCCGCTGGTACGACACAGATTGAAGCGAACGGGGAAGTAAACACGGCAGCGGCAGCAGCTATATGTGTGTTGTAGGGGTATATATGTGTGGTGTGCAGACGGAGTGCGTGCGAGACCGGAATACACAAAACCAGCGGGTACGGTTTTCTCGGGGCCGGCGTATAGTAGTAGATGTATAAAGTACCAGTGCAAATTACAATTAACGACAGCGCACCCGCACATGCACACTCGGTGTACACCTATATGTGATATTATATACATACCGTGGAAAAACATTCGGGTACACCGAGCCTTATCCACCCGCGTGGCTTACAGAGCGACCGATGCC